TGAAGGTAGAGACAGAGAGATGAAGGCAATAGTGGAACAGATAGGCGACTGAGCATTGACCTGCCTGGGAGGGGAGAGTGGAGCCACGGTCTGGAGGAACAGTCCATGGGGGGAAACACAAAACAGTAGCTGGCTAGGAGATAAATACATACAAAAAACAAAAGAGCACGAAGAAAAAATGGCCTAGAGACGAGAACGAACTGGCAAGTGACTGAGGAGTGAAACCGGGTAATATAGTGAGCAACCTAATCAAGTGCAGCTGGTGATAAGGGAGTGAGGAACAGGTGAACGTGATTAGTCTAAATGGGCAAGAGACAGTAGGAAAGGTGAGGGAGGTCAGAGCGGCCGAGCAAACCTGACAGCTAGAGCAGCACAGCAGTGTGGTGGTTAGAGCTGTCACGTCACAGCAAGAAGATTCCAGGTTTGAGCCCACTGCCTTTCTGTGTGGAGTTTGCATGTTCTCCCTGTGCCTGTGTGGGTTCTCTCCAGGTACTCCGGCTTCCTCCCACAGTGGCGTAGTTCGTTTATAGCCTAACAATAGCTTTTTACTTCTGACAATCGTATTACAAGCTGTTTTGATACCTTTATACTGGTAACAGCTGCGGCTGGAGGCATTGTGTTTTCAGGTTGTCTGCCTGTCCGTCCATAGGATTCTTGTGAATGCGATATCTCAGGAACACCATGAGGGAATTTCTTCAAATTAGGCAGCTGTCCAATGATTAGAAGTTGGTGGTCAAAGGTCAGTGACCACACTTCTGTCCCCTACCTCCAAATTTGACTGTTCAAATAATGTGCTGCTGTATTGTTTTTGTCCTCCCCAGCTACATACAGTGCCTTGCGAAAGTATTCGGCCCCCTTGAACTTTGCGACCTTTTGCCACATTTCAGGCTTCAAACATAAAGATATAAAACTGTCATTTTTTGTGAAGAATCAACAACAAGTGGGACACAATCATGAAGTGGAACGAAATTTATTGGATATTTCAAACTTTTTTAACAAATAAAAAACTGAAAAATTGGCCGTGCAAAATTATTCAGCCCCCTTAAGTTAATACTTGGTAGCGCCACCTTTTGCTGCGATTACAGCTGTAAGTCACTTGGGGTATGTCTCTATCAGTTTTGCACATCGAGAGACTGAAATTTTTGCCCATGCCTCCTTGCAAAACAGCTCGAGCTCAGTGAGGTTGGATGGAGAGCATTTGTGAACAGCAGTTTTCAGTTCTTTCCACAGATTCTCGAGTGGATTCAGGTCTGGACTTTGACTTGGCCATTCTAACACCTGGATATGTTTATTTGGGAACCATTCCATTGTAGATTTTGCTTTATGTTTTGGATCAGTGTCTTGTTGGAAGACAAATCTCCGTCCCAGTCTCAGGTCGTTTGCAGACTCCATCAGGTTTCCTTCCAGAATGGTCCTGTATTGGGCTCCATCCATCTTCCCATCAATTTTAACCATCTTCCCTGTCCCTGCTGAAGAAAAGCAGGCCCAAACCATGATGATGCCACCACCATGTTTGACAGTGGGGATGGTGTGTTCAAGGTGATGAGCTGTGTTGCTTTTACGCCAAACATAACGTTTTGCATTGTTGCCAAAAAGTTCGATTTTGGTTTCATCTGACCAGAGCACCTTCTTCCACATGTTTGGTGTGTCTCCCAGGTGGCTTGTGGCAAACTTTAAACGACACTTTTTATGGATATCTTTAAGAAATGGCTTTCTTCTTGCCACTCTTCCATAAAGGCCAGATTTGTGCAGTATACGACTGATTGTTGTCCTATGGACAGAGTCTCCCACCTCAGCTGTAGATCTCTGCAGTTCATCCAGAGTGATCATGGGCCTCTTGGCTGCATCTCTGATCAGTCTTCTCCTTGTATGAGCTGAAAGTTTAGAGGGACGGCCAGGTCTTGGTAGATTTGCAGTGGTCTGATCTGTTCACAAATGCTCTCCATCCAACCTCACTGAGCTCGAGCTGTTTTGCAAGGAGGAATGGGCAAAATTTAAGTCTCTTGATGTGCAAAACTGATAGAGACATACCCCAAGTGACTTACAGCTGTAATCGCAGCAAAAGGTGGCGCTACAAAGTATTAACTTAAGGGGGCTGAATAATTTTGCACGGCCAATTTTTCAGTTTTTTATTTGTTAAAAAAGTTTGAAATATCCAATAAATTTCGTTCCACTTCATGATTGTGTCCCACTTGTTGTTGATTCTTCACAAAAAATGACAGTTTTATATCTTTATGTTTGAAGCCTGAAATGTGGCAAAAGGTCGCAAAGTTCAAGGGGGACGAATACTTTCGCAAGGCACTGTACATGAGAGGGGCAGAATATTAGGAACACATCTCAATATAATGAAGTCGAGTACAACACCATTTTTAACTATGACAATTATACAGATGTACTTAATAAATTAGCTGGTGAGTGTAGTTTCAAATTTATGGCTCAAAGAACTACTACATCTAATATTATAACACACACTCTAGAGTGGATCATATAATTTCTTCTCCCTAACATGAGCCCTGCACAGCTTGTAGTGAGTGACAGCAGGACGCAGTCTGACTTTACCTGCTATCAGTAAAATGTTGCAACATGATCGGGAAGTGCAAGGTATCATGACTCATGAGCAGGTAACTGTGTGGAAAGTTGGTATGGGTGTTCATGAGAGAGAAGTTGCTGGAGGAGGGATCTAATGTAATAACACACAATGTAGAGTGGATCATTTCTGCAGTTATTCTCAAGGACTTGTGTTATGCTGAGTTCTGCCTGTTGAGAACTGCATGCCCCTTGGGGGAGCATTAGTGGAGCATCGCACACATTACCAGCTGGAGCACCGCTCATCAACACACATACCAACTGATGAATGTGCTAGATTACTCAATATACCATAATGGTGGTGTCCCTGCACTCCCCTTTTTTATGACACCAACTTTTCACACATTGACCAGAAGTAGGCACTTAAGCAAGTCCTTGAGAACCACTCATCTGACACAAACCCACACACAATATTTACATACAGGTGGACAAAATAGCACATGAATGTGGCTCATGAACCACGATACCCTGCACAGCTTCCTTTAAGGCACAGTGACAACAATAAAACATAAGAAACAGTAAAGCACTGCATGATCACTGTCACCAACTGACCAGAAAGTGCTGATGATGCAGGATGACATCAGCAAAACTGTCCAATCACTATGTTCTCTGCCTTCCATGAGACCTTATGGTTTGACTGTGCAGAGACAGTGTTAACAGGAATTGGACCAGAATCAATGGCCAAAAATGTTTCTTTTTTTTTCTTAGTTCAGAACAAACTACAGAACTGAACTACAGGATTGAAAGCGTACAGGGAGGCTATGAGCCAAATGTAAATTTCTGCTGACATCAGATGGCAGTAATACATTTACAGCTGGAAGTGGTAATGTACCGTAGAAGATAGTGATACAGCAATAAACCAGGAGAAGAAGAAGAAAGATCACCAGCTGCTATAAACAAAGGAAAGTGAGAAATAAATGTACTTTAAAAGTGCATGGATATGTCACAGGATCAGCTAAATAAGGATATCTCTGTATTTTAGTTAGGTTCTGGTATATTTACTTGGTGAAGACCTGATTAATGCCTCACAATGCTAAATTGTAAAATGAAGCAAATTTTTTCAACCTGGCAGGTTGGTTATTATGTTATTTTTTTCATCTTCATAACCGACTTTGATGATGGCAGTCCTCACCAGAGTTGGTGTGTTTTCTTTTGTACCACGCTCCATCCAGAGATTTGTCCTCTGCATTCTTGTCTTCTTCAGCCAGCATCACCTCCTCTGCAACACAAATACCAGTTAAATTTGAGTGCGTCATAATTAGGTCATATCTGTGTCAACATCAATTACAGTAAAGATTTTCATTTTCACTGAAATGATTCGAGAGAGTTTTGGTTTATGTTTGGCTGAAAGAGTGAGAGAGAGTGAGAGCGAGAGAGGGACAGTGCAGTTTATATGTGGGTACTTGTTTCTAACCTGCTTTGCAGATCCACTCCAGGTATCCAGTTAACTCTCTCTCTATTTGCTGTTGTCTGCGGAGCTTCAGGAATTCTTGCCTCTTCTCTACTCGTTCTCTCTCCTTGGCAAACTCCCTTTAGAAACATACACACACAGAAATGTTTATTAAATCTAACAAGCTGACACAAACCCTGGAGCACTCCACTGTTGACAAGGACTGTATATAGTAGGCTGGCTTTCAGCAGGTAAGACAGAGCCTGTGTCCCATCACATTGTGGAATAGTAGATGGAACTCACCATCAACAGCAGGGTGGTTTCAACGCTTAGACAACAAGCTAAAATCTGTCATGGAATGAGAAATTCTCATCTCAGTGATGACCACTTCCAAATGTGTGACAGAAAGATTTTCTAGAAAATAAAAATAAAAAATTAAGTCAAACTAAACTAATTCTAACCATTATTATGCAAGCTACTACCACCTCATCTATATGCACCTAACTCTACCTGCAGTTTCAACAACTATTTACTTTGCCTGTTGTTTCTAGAATAAAGACCATCCAGACACTGCAGTGAACTAACTCTTGTAAACCCTGTGTATTTTATGAAAAGATATAACCAAGTTAATTGTTATTTATAAACTTACATATATCCCACATTTTAATTCTGCTTATCTATATTTTAAAAGGGGAATGAAGCACTCATTGAATCATTTATTTATTGTGAAAATATTAGATGTTATCCTTATATTTTATAGCTGATAAATTCCTTTGTACTGATGCTATATTATTTTGTTATATCAATAATTTGTTAAAGCTGATAACAGGATCTTCTTTGCCACTGTATTGCTGAGGAGGTACAGTATAGAGGACCTTAGGGCTGGCAGCTTGATCCCCTGGCCATACATTTTAGTGTGGGCAGTGTGGAGGCACACACAGAAAAAAGTCAAATCTGATCTATTTCACACAGAACTCCAAAAACGGCCTTGGCAGAATTATTGACAGCTTTTAAAACCTGATAACAGGATCTTCTTTGCCACTGTATTGCTGAGGAGGTACAGTATAGAGGACCTTAGGGCTGGCAGCTTGATCCCCTGGCCATACATTTTAGTGTGGGCAGTGTGGAGGCACACACACACAGCAAGAAAGTTCCAGGTTCAAGCCCGGGCTGACCTGGACTTTACATGTTCTCCCTGTGCCTGCGTGGGTTCTCTCTGGGTACTTCAGCTTCCGCAGTCCAAAAACATGCAACTTAGGTTGACTGGCAACTCTAAACTACCAGTAGGAGTGACTGTGAATGTGTGTAGTTGTCTGTATCTAAGCGTCAGCCCTGTGATAACCCTGTCCAGGGTAGACCTTGCCTCTTGCCCAATGTCAGCTAGGATTGGCTCCAGCCACCCCACAACCCTGTTCAAGAATAAGCAGTATAAATGATGGATGGATGTTTTAGTGTCCTTGAGCAACACAATGAACCACAAGTTGCTCCCAGTGACATTACTGATGTGTGAACATTTGTGTGTGCGAATAGGTGAATAGGCAAAATATCGTAAAGCACATTGAGAGTGTTTCAGTGCAGAGAAGTCCATTTGCCATAAGGGTTAGGATCATGTTGTTCCGATAAAGCGAGTTAAATGAGCTGCGTGGGAAATAAGATATGCATGAGATGAGGAAGAAAGGTGGAGGAACACAGCAGAGGTGAAGAGACAGCTAGATAAAAAACAAAGAGAGAGAGAGAGGAAGAGAAAGAAAGACAGAACAGAACAGAACAGAACAAGGGAACAGCCATCAGTGACTGGGGTGTCTCCCCCACAGCAGAGGGGGAAGCTCTATCCTGCATTGCAGTGGGTGTCGACCTCCCTGAGCATGTTTCTGTCTGTGTCTGCCAGTGGGACTATATCTAATTTTGTGGCAACATATCTTTCTCTCTATAATGGATGTGCAGTGCAATCACATGTTGGCTGGTTGACTGTAATATATGTATGTGTGTGTGTGTGTGTGTGTATGTGAATACAGAGACAAACTGTGGCAGATAGGATTTCCCATTGTAGCAGCTTTTAGCCACACTTTCATGCTGTCTCACTAATGTACATAATGATACATATGCAAGCTTTAGCACAAACATAAATATTACACACAATTGGATCCACACTAAATTAGATGATTACAAACTTTCACAAGCATACAGTGCCCATATTTGTTCCAGAAAGTCAGACCAAATAAAATATGCAAATGCGTCTCTCATTAATCTCTCTCTCCACACATACATAGAGTTACAGCCAAAAATTTTGGCACCCTTGCATTTCTGCCTGATAATTAGCCCCTCACCCTGTAGCTGATCTCCCTGGACATGGAAGAAAGAGACAAATAGATGACAGACTGCAATGAACAATGAAGGCTCTCTTAAAAAATAAATAAAGAATAAAAAACACATCTCCCAGAACCCGACCAAGTCCCGCGCCAAAACGAACAACCTGACACACCCACCTGTCACCCCTCTTATACTCTCCTGTACTTGTTCCTCCCCAAACCCCACATTGGACAGAACAGCGCGGGTATTTCACCGAAACAGACAGTAACCAATACATGCACAGCTTTCAACAACAGTGTCAAACCCATTTGCACACAACAGAACACACGAACATCAGCGGCCAGTCAGGGTCGCCACAGTATGTTTACCTGTTCGTATTGGTCTCCTTAGTCATCACTGCCCTTCCCTGGTTGTATGTATTATGGACCCTGTTATGTTGTCACTTTGTTGTTTTTATTCCATTAAACCTCCTTTTTTTTGTACTAGCACCTGGGTCAGCCATCTCGAGTCCAACCCCAGTTCTCCCTCACCCTCATGGTGAGGGGGACTCAACCATAACATTTAATTTGTAATGAAACTCACCTGCAGCAATCAACAGGTGCTGGCAATACAGAGATCACACTTGCAACCGGTTAAAATGGAGAAAAGTTGACTCAACCTTTGTCATGTGGACCACACTGAGCATGGAGAAAAGGAAGGAAGAGCAAAGAATTGTCTGAGGATTTGAGAAGCACAATAGTGGAAAAGCCTGGACAGTCTCAAGGCTACAAGCCCATCTCCAGAGATCTGGCTATTCCTGTGTCCACTCTGCACAACATTGTCAAGATGTTTACAGCCCCTCACCCTGTAGCTGATCTCCCTGGACATGGAAGAAAGAGACAAATAGATGACAGACTGCAATGAACAATGAAGAACTTCCAAACAAATCCAAGCTGACCTGCAGGCACAGGGAGCAGCAGAGTCAGCTCACACTGTCACCATCTGAATGACAAGGCACACTATGGTAGGAGACCCAAGGGGCCCCCACTGCTGACACAGGAACATAAAAAAGCCAGAGTGGAGTTTGTTAAAACTTACCTGAGGAAGCCACAGTCCTTCTGGGAGAATGTCCTGTGGACAGATAAGACTAAAACAGAGCTTTTTGGTCGAGCACATCATTCTACTGTTTTCAGAAAATGAAATGAGGCCTACAAAAAAAAGAACACGGTCCCTACAGTCAAACACTGTGGGGGTTCACTGATGTTTTAGGGTTGTTTTGCTGCTTCAAGCTCTGGATGTCTTGACTGTGTGTATGGCATTATGAAATCTGAAGACTACCAGTGAATTCTGGGAACAATGTAGGGCCCAATGTCAGAAAGTTGGGTCTCCATCAGAGGTCATGGGTCTTACAGCAGGACAATGACCCAAAGCAGACTTCAAAAAGCACGAGAAATGGTTTCAGACAAAGAGCTGGAGAGTTCTGAAGTGACCAGCAAAGAGTCCAGATTTAAATCCCATAGAGCACCTGTGGCGAGATCTCATAACAGCAGCTGGGAGAAGGAAGCCTTCAAATCTGAGAGAGCTGAAGCAGTTGGCAAAAGAAGAGTGGTCCAAAATTCAGAATCGGAATCAGAATCAGAATCTGCTTTATTGGCCAGGTGTGTCGGACACAAAAGGAATTTAACTCTGGTACATCAGCTCTCAATGTGCAAAATGTACATTTCCCCATGCAAGTAAACAGTAAACCAGCATAAGGCTGTGCAAACAATGCAAAATAAACAGTATAAACAGGCAGTAAACAATGCAGATTCCAGTAGAGAGGTGGAAGAAACTCACCGATGGTTACAGGAAGTGACTGATTTCAGTTATTTTGTCCAGAGGGTGTGCTACCAAGTTTTAAGTTGAGGCTGTCAATAATTCTGTCCAGTCCATTTTTGGAGTTCTGTGTGGAATGGATCAGTTTTGGCTTTTTTCTCTGCTTTTTTTTATTGTTCCAATGCGAATAAACATGAAAATACCAAAGACTTTGTGATTGCAACAGTTTTCTGGGAGAAGTGGTGAATTATCTGACAAATGCAGGGGTACCAATATTTTTGGCCACGACTGTACATACATATGCATACATACTGTGTGAGGTGCTGAATTTAGAGCTCCTGGAGCTCCTTGATGGTGACCTGACCCTGTGCTTGCTTTATTGCCGATGGCTGGATGCAGACACACCGGCAGTACCCACCCAGTAGTCTCCGTGTATTTATTATTTAAATGTATTTTTTTTATGTTTTTACTCCCTCATAGCTGCCTGTACTCTTTCAATCCTTCCTCCTTCATATATACATATAATGGAGTTGTTTGCATCCACACAGCACATCCTCACACACGCAAATCACATGTAAAACCTATTGTATACCTATTATACATGTTTATACCCCATGTTCTATTGCAAAGATCCTGTATCCACCATTTTCTCTTCTTTGTCCTGTCCTGTTAAACACCCTCTGTTTTGTGTTACAACAAACAAACAAACAAAATCTGATATTGCTAACAAACATCCCCATCCTCTTCTCAGGCAGTCTGATAGTTATCTAACAATGCTAATGATGTGCTAAGAAAAACTATAAACACAGAGCAAACCAACAAGCTAATGATAAAAATAAAGTAGTGAAAATTCTACCACTTTGTGCAAACTGTGTTTTTATCTGACAAGTGCAAAACACATTGTAAGCTAGGTTACAGTAAAAGTATCAGACAAACTGGAGATGTGTGAGAGGAGTTTTGTGAATGAGAGGTTGTGGCTTCTACTTTGATTACAGCCACATCTAGTTTCACCCTGCCCACGCTGATGGGATAAAAG